CAACGATGTTACAACCTATTCTGTAAAATATTATATTTTATTCTTGAGACATGTGAAATACCATTTTGCCCTTGAGTGGGTGCCCTAATAAATTTTCGAGCCACGACACGAGGTTATTAACTTTATACTTTCTTAAGTTTCATAGTTATGTTCTGGTACTTTATTTTAACGTAAAAAATAATTTACGAATCGAGATCTCGAGGGCCTATTTGTGAATTAAAATATATGTAGGGGCAAAATCATAATTTCACTTAAAACTATTTTAAGTGGGATTATACCCACTCCGTCTGTCTCTCTATCCTCATTCATGCGAACCCCTATCTCTCTCTTTAACTCTCAAGTCTCTCACTCTCTCTCTAGAGCTCCGAGAGCTCTCGTCATTCTTACTCTTCGAAATTGAAGTAAATCGGATTCCAAAATCATGAAACCTTAATCCTTGGGATGAGAGGAACATATCTATGCCCATGCATGTGCCATCGGAGCACTAGGCAGTGACCTACCATGGGACCCAAGAGCTTCGAGCTCTAATTCGCTGTCTCAGGTGAGATTTTTTCTTCCTCTTCAATTTCTGGGCTTATATTGGTGCTAGAAATGAATGTTGTGTTGGATTTAAGCTTGAATCCGTGTTTTCAGCCATATTATATTATGGATATGCATGTCCAGCTTCGACTTTGAATTCTGGCGAGAATGTCATCGAGTTTGAGGTCAGTTTGGGTCTATAGTGCCTTCATTTTGTTAATCATTCGTTGGGAACTGAAATTGGTGAGGTTTAAGCCCAATTTTCGTATTCTAAATCTCTGCATGTTTCTCGGTGTATAAGCACATTTTTCAGTCATCTTCTCTGAGCAAACTCCGGCTAGTTTGTGAATTCTAGAGCTTGTGCTCAACTTTAACCAATCTCAGGTACTTAGATATTCTTTTGCATGTGAATTTTAGTTGAGGATCACTAAGATTTGACATGCATGCACTTTGCTCCCAATTTCGAGGTGGATTCGACCTCTCCTCCTTTTAAATTAGTTTTGGGTAAGTCTCGAAACCTTATGGGACTAATTTTTGTGAAATTTGTATGGTTTTTGGTTGAATTCAAGCTCAAAAGACCCCTTTAACCATTTTCTGGGGTTTTTCCAATTTTCGGCGACGGTCGATAGCGAAAGGCTGCCGTCACCATTAAACTTAACGGCAATGATCACTGTTCCGTTAAGTTTGATGGCATTTCTTACCAGAGAAGGTATATCCTATTAAGCCCTTTAAATTCCTACCACATCAGCGCATGGGTTTGGCTTTGGCTCCGGTGAGTATGATGTCTACTTGCGGAACTAGGGCGGCGAGTAAAATGATGGCCCACGACGGTGCATGTTTTCTGGTGGTGACACGTGGCAGGAGCACGACGTAGAGTAAGGCTGATTCAAATTATGTAATTTCAGAAGTCCGATCATGGACTCACCAACTCTAGGCGAAGTTGTATCAGACAGAGTAGGGCGCCACCATCACTATACTCTAGGGCAATAGGCGGAGTCTTAGCGACTCCGCTGGATAACCATGCTTGTTCTCCAAGGCATTCGATCTGATCCGGATACAGACACAATTAGATCCTATAATTCTTGGAGTCCCTACAATCTAGGGTTAAGCATGCGCCTCAAGTAATCACAACTCCTACTTACTAAATATCCTCCCAGCTTAGAACTAGGATTTTATCCTAAAAAGATCCCTCTCCCACGGTACAAATACACCCATCTAGAGTTCATCTATGATAACACAATCTATTCACTTTAATTCTCTTACCCACTGCTCAGGTCTCAAATCATTCACTTAAACAGACTACCCTTGATTCTTCTTTTCCTACACCATCTTTGTCCACGTTCTTTTTTGTTTTCTCCCTCATTTTCTTGTGTGAGCTTAGAATAGTAATGTAGACATGCAAATTCGATGAACATAAATTTTTTTTTTTGAAGCAAAGTACGATATCCATTAAGCAAACAAAGAATATGTACATACTGAGGGTAGTGTGCTCACTGGCCTCGATAAAAACCTTGTTGAGGCTTTCAACTAGGTCTAAGGAAAAGAGCGCCTTCACAAACTGAAACCTATCCTCAAATGAACAATCAACATGAAGAAAAGAAACAATTACAATCCCTTCTCAACTAATATATCCTGAATCAAGTCCGGAGGTTCCTCAAACCACACTACCTCCTGAAAGCTACTAAGACCCATCCTAGCAAGACGATGCGCCACCCCATTTCCTTCCCGTTGAACATGGCTGATCTTCGAGTGCGGCATTCCTGCAAGAAAACTTCTCAAGTCGTTGACAATTGGTCCAAGAAGGGAAGAATCGTCCCCCTGCCCCTTCATAGCAGCCATCACCAAACTCGCATCCCCTTCAAATATAATTTGACAATCTTGTAACCGAGAGCACTGCCTGCTATGCAGCCAATAACTCCACGTGGACAGCAGATGACAGTTTCTCAAAAGGACCTACAGCAGCCGCCACAAAATTCCCTCCATGGTTTTTTTATTACAACTCTGAAACCTCACCGATGCCTATTCTGACTCCAAGCCCCATCAAAATTACATTTGAGCTAACCCTCGCCTGGTTTGTTCCACTTCTGAACCACTATACCAACCTTCTGTCCCCCCGTCTTATCCCATTGGTGGAACTCGTGCATCCAACCCTCTGTTCGAATCACCACTTCATACGGTTGTAACGATATACCATTCAAAATCACATCATTCATATGCTTCCAAATAGACCATAGCAGCATCAAGCAAAATTCAAACCCGTTTGAAGGGAAAACATGGAAATATTCTCCAACCAAGACATCAGTGGCAAACGATTACCCGTATCTACTCTAATACCCAGGCTTCGAAACCAAACCTGTTTGAATTTTGGCATGGAAATTATCACCAAACACATTAAATTTTGGCATGTGAGGGCCTACATGGCATGCAAGGGGCTTACATGGCATACGACTCATCGAGACCAGACAAGTCATCAAAGATACATGTCAACAATTGGCGGAAATTAATATTTGATTTTAATTTAGATTAAACAAATTAATTAATTTAAATTAAAGCAAATAGAAATGTCAAATTGGGCAAGATTGATTATTTGATTTATTTAAATTAAATAATTGATTTATTGATTGATTGTTGGAAATAAATCACGAACCAAACAAAAAATCAAGTCCAAATCCATCCGTAGGCAAGGCTCAGAAAGTCTATAAATACAAGACCCCAAGGCAAATGAAAGAGATCCAGAAATCATTCAAGAACCCAGACATAGCCAAAAGCTCAAGCACCCAAATCCCCAAAACACTTAGAAGAATTCAGAAAGTTCTTTGTGTTCCTCATCAAACCTTTGAAGAATCATCAAGCATTACTACCTGTGCCGATCCTTCAAATCGCCAAGAGCCAAAACCTCGCGGTAACTGTTCATCTAAGATCGAGTCATTGCAACCCTTGGATCGATAACCTACACATCAACATATTTTTTGGAGATCGAATTAGAGGAAACTTGTAAACAAAGATTGTAACCCTACAAATTTACTTTGTACACATGTTCTATTGTTATCTGTTACAGGAAATTTGTGTTTAGCTCTTTCCTTTTGCACATTAAAGTGAGGTGTGAGTTCTCTAGGTCAAAACGTGATAAGTCAACTTATTAAGTTTTAGGTTGGTTCCTGGAGTGTTTTGTTGGTTTGTAAGGCAAAGGGTAATGGCTTTTTTTCACAGCCTTCCCACGTGAAATTAAAGTTATATGCTTGGATTTTTGGTGCTCCCTAGCAGTTCAAAACCTTCACACTTTAATTCCATGTGGGCCCAGTGAACTTCGTAACCATCCACACTGCAACCTATTTGGCAAGCCCATTACATGGCTTAGGCCTACTTAAGCATGTCGTGTGCTTGGTGTGGTATGAATAAAAGTATTAATATAATAGTACTACAACATAGCTTAATCAATATGCGTGATTCCTATGGTCTTAGCATGATTTTTTGAATGTCCAAACTATAAATTATTTGTGTTTGTTGGCGTGGTATGATTGTGAATGCACGCCCTTCGTTTTGCACTTTATGCATGAACTTAAGCTTGGTTTGCAACAAACACACAACGATTAGGCTTCAAAATAGAATTGGGCTCCATGGTGAAATTCTTTTTTTAGCCCTAACACATGTGATTCACTATTGAGGGTAAGTCGTGCCGGTATTTGATGGAGAAGAGGATAAAATTTCATCAAATCTAACAGTGAATTGGCTGATTTTAAATATTTCAGAAAGTTACTAAAAAAATAGTTCATTGAGTCAATTATAACTGTAATAATAGTTGAAGGAGCCAAACGACAGTTTACTCTTACTCTTTTAAAAGTAATCTTTATATGATTACGACATCGAAAATACCTCAATCGTAACTACTAGACAAGAATTGCACTCAAATAATAGGTATCGTGCGTCTCCATAAAAATAGATTTTGAACAGATAAAAATAGATTTTGACATTGAGACCATCTCCAACTCTGGGCTAAAAGCCAAATTACCCCCCCCCCCCAAACACTCTCCAACCCATGCTAAAATGTTAGGCTAAATGCCAAATACTATTTCTGGGCCAAATACCCCCCAGCTTTCCCCCCGGGCTAAATGCGAAATGTTTATCGGAATTTAAATTTTTTAGATTAAAATGTTCATAAAATTAATTTACAATAATCTACATATTTATTTTAAAAAAAAATTGATTTAAGAAAAAAATTTAGGCTAATTTCATTTTTTAATAATTCCGGGCTAAAATTTTAGGGTAGAAGAGTTGGAGCAGAAAAGATGTTTCTGGGCTAAAAGCTAAATTTTCCGGGCTAAAAAATTTGGCTTTTAGCCCAAGGATTGGAGATGGTCTAAAACAAAATAAAAAAAGAAAAAGAACTAAATAAAAACTAAAAAGGAAAAAAAAGCAAGGCAAGGGAGACAATAATTAGTCTTGGTTTTTTGTTTATAATTCCTCACCAAATCCCACCATTAAGCACATACGACGCCTGCTAACAGCGATTGTGCACTTGTTCATGTGACCAGTGCTTGCTGTACCAAACTACTGCGTCTCTTTTCTGTCTCCCTCTCTCTCTGCATTTCCATGTAATTTGGGTCAAATAGAATTCCCAACAGAATCCCTCTCTCTTGCCATCCCATAATCAATCTGTGCTCTTTTGGGTTTTGCTCATAAAATCCATGAGAGTAAGCAATGCAGGGGAAACTGGGGCAATCATTTCCTACCCGTTTTCCCAGTTTTGACAAGTTTGGATTTTGAGTTTTTTGTGGTGAAAAAAGATAGCACAGATTGGGAAAGTTGGTGTTTTGGCTCTTTGTTTTGTGTTTGTAGGCCCAAAATATTTCAGTTTTGGCGGTGATAAAAAAAACCCAGATCATTAATTGTTGGGTTTTATTAACCTATTAATTTTGTGTTGGTGTTAAAAGCTTCACGGTGTTGCTGCTGCTGCTCCTGCTGCCCCCACCTCTTATTGCTGGTTTTCTATAACAGTTAGCTTGTAGCTCTTTTTACAGTAGAAAAAAAAAAAAAAAAGAGCTAAGATATTGTTTGCTTTCCTTTTGTGTTTTTTGTGTAATTTCATGAAAGTGAGTGTTGTGATTCTGTTCAAAAAGGGAAACTCATTCACTACAGGTCCAAGTGATGGCCTTTACTTTCTATTAACTAGGTTTTTTTTTTTTTTTTTTTTTTGTATTTTTGATAATACTAAGCATTACCTGCTTCTCTTTCCTCTACGGACTACCATTTTAGAACCAAATTTTCTCTGAAATTTCCAATCTTGGAGGCTGTTTCTGCTTCAGTAAGATCATGCTGCTGCCTCTGAGAGTCAAACCCCATCTGGGTTTTTGGTGTTTGAGAAATAGCAGCCTGTATTTGAGCTAAAAACAGCAGGTCTTCTGAGTTTTCTGGGGAAGTTTTTTGACAAAAGAGTAGAAACCGAGATTTGGGTTCTGCTGCTCGGAAGTGAGTAAATCAAAGGAAGATTTTATCTATATCTGGTGGTGATTGAGTGGCTTTTGTTTCAATTTCCAAAGTCAAAGACTCAAAGTTTAAAGCTTTGGATATGGCGGTGCCAGAGAACCTGAGAAAACAGCTTGCGCTTGCTGTGAGAAGCATCCAGTGGAGCTATGGAATCTTCTGGTCCATTTCAGCCAGGCAACCAGGGTACTGATTTTCACCTTATTTTCAACTTGGGTTAGTTGAACTAATACTATGTATGTATTTTGGCCTCCAGAAGGAAAAAAAAAGTTCTAATTTTTGTACAAAATTTCCCAGAAAATCTTTGTTGTTTGTTGTTGTTGGGTGTGTTTGTGTTTTGAATTTCTAATTTTCTGCAACTTTTCCCCCCATCTTTTTGTTGTCTTGGTTTTGTTATTCTCAGTTCAAAGAACTCCTGTTCTTCTGCATTATCAGCAGGATTTGAAACTTCCTCAAATAAAATTGACGTTGATTAAATAATTAGACTAAACCCTTCAGATTAAGGCTAATCCATTCACTCTCTGATATATAAATCTCTTAAAATATTATGGCATTGTCCTTATCTTATCTGCATTACGAATTGCAATGTTTAACTTTGTAGGGTGTTAGAGTGGGGTGATGGGTACTACAATGGAGATATAAAGACCAGAAAAACAGTTCAAGCCATAGAACTCAATGCTGACCAAATGGGTTTGCAAAGGAGTGAGCAACTGAGAGAACTTTATGAGTCCCTCTCAGCGGGTGAAGCAAGTCCGCAGGCTAGAAGGCCTTCAGCATCATTATCACCCGAAGATCTCGCTGATACTGAGTGGTATTACCTAGTTTGTATGTCGTTCGTCTTCAACATTGGCCAAGGGTAACTTTATTCTTCACAATTCTTCTGTACTCAAATAGAATCTTAGGGCAATTCTGATATTATATTCATTGATCAACCATAGCGTCAATTGCGAACTTTAGAAGTTGAAGCTTGAAAAGAGATTTCGATTTGGCTACACAATAAGCACTGTATTTTGTAAAAGACAGAATATATTTTGTTCTACATTCATGTCTTCATATAGCCGACCCCACTTAGTGGGAAAAGGCTTTGTTGTTGTTGTTGTTGTATTCATGTCTTCATAGTTCTTATAACTTACAATGCTCTTCCCTAAACTTTTTCAGGTTGCCTGGAAGAACATTAGCAAATGGTAAACCTACCTGGCTATGCAATGCTCACTATGCGGATAGTAAAGTGTTTTCTCGTTCACTACTAGCAAAGGTAGCTTTCTGTTTCTTCATTTATATAAGTATCATGATTGGTTTCTGGTTCAAGTTACTTGACTAGTTTGCTCAGAATGAAGAACTAAAACATCTGTTTTCTGTTTGGTTTTCTTTCGATGCCTGGATTTGTACCTGTCACCCTCAGAGCGCATCCATTCAGGTACGGATACAAGCATAAGATAAATTTTCTGGTATATGTCGCCACAGTTTCAGACAGCAGATTCGGAATTGTCAAAAAATGTTTTCTGCAGATTATACAATTATATTGGGCAGAATGAATGCACAAAGCTGATTTCTTAATCTAAGCATGTTTTTCTTATTTGCTTTCCAGACTGTTGTATGCTTTCCTTTTTTGGGAGGAGTGATCGAGATCGGTGTGACTGAGCTGGTAGGTATTATTGCTTTAGAATCCTGCCTCAGGTATATTCAATTAGAATTACATATTGTTTCCGAATTCTGATCCACTGCATATTTTTGCATTCTTTTTGTAGGTTCTGGAGGACCCTAGTCTCATTCAGCATGTTAAAACATCTTTCTTGGAGGCTCCGTATCCAATAATAGCTTCCAAGAGAACCAATCCTAGTGCAGGAAGCACAAGAAACGACAATGATCTTGCCTGCGCCGTGCTTGATGATGATGTGGTTGACACCAAATTCATTCCTGTTGTAGGATGCCAAGAAATGGATGTGACTTCACCCGATGACAGTTCAAATTGTTTGGGTCGTCCGAATCAACCAGTTGATGATTCATTCATCGCTGAAGGGATGAACAGGGGAGCCTCTCAAGTGCAAAGCTGGCAGTTTATGGACGACGAGATAAGTAATTTTGTGCATCATTCCATGGATTCCAGTGATTGTATATCTCAGACTTTGGTGTACCCAGAAAAGGTCCTCTTCGGTCCTAAGACTGAGAAGGTAAATGATCACTGTCCGCATGAACTTAAAGAGTGCAATAACACAAAAATGACCTCTTCGGAAACTCAAGGCAATGACTTGCAGTATCAAAGTGTTCTTTCTGCCCTTTTAAAGAGCTCACACCAATTGGTTTTAGGGCCACACTTCCGGAATTCTCATCAGGAATCCAGCTTTGCCAGTTGGAAGAGAGGGTGGTTTGTAAAATGTTGGACACAAAGAAGTGGAACACCACAAAAACTACTGAAGAAGATTTTGTTTGAAGTTCCTCAGATGCATGTTGATTGTGTGCTAGTGTCCCCAGCAGATAAAAGCAATGTAAATGGAGTTTGGAGACCAGAGGCCGATGAAATTGGTACGAACCATGCATTATCTGAGAGGAGGCGAAGGGAAAAACTGAATGAAAGATTTTGCATTTTGAAATCAATGGTTCCCTCAGTTAGCAAGGTAGGTAAAACTCCATTTAAGATTTTGTTTACTGACATCAAATGCAAAGTAATTTGTTTTTCGACTTTGTTTACACAGGAGGACAAAGTATCCATATTAGATGATGCAATAGAGTATTTGAAAGATCTTGAGAAAAGGGTTGAAGAGTTGGAATCGTTACGGGAACCAACAGATTCAGAAGCAAAAATCAAGAGGAAACTCCAAGATACAGTTGAAAGAACATCTGACAACTGTTGCAACACCAAAATTAGCAACGGGAAGAAGCCCATAGTTTATAAGAGGAAGGCCAGTGACATGGATGAAACAGAACCAGAAATCAATCACATTGTATCGAAGAACAGTTCAAGTGACAATATTACAGTGAATATGACCAACAAGGATGTTCTAATAGAGATGAAGTTTCCTTGGAGGGAAGGAGTGTTGCTAGAGATCATGGATACCACAAGCCGGCTTCATTTAGATACTCACTCAGTTCAATCATCCACCGCAGATGGGATTCTTTCCCTGACCATTAAATCCAGGGTATGAAATTTTAGTTACATGAAGAATATGGTCTATCATTACATTTTTCAGTGGTTTAAGGGAACAATTCACCATTATGTGATACACTCGGGTTCCTGGAGGCCTACTGCAAATAACTAACCATCGTTTTCTTCTTAATTTGCAGTTCAGGGGGACGAGTATTGCATCAACGGGCACAATCAAGCAAGCACTTCACAGAATTGCCAGAAGTTGATGTATCTCGCGTTCTTAGTGATCTCTCGAATCCTGTCATTGTACAATTGCATAACGTTGAAAGGATCTGTAGATTGACGGTGTAAGAACCATGACTCTGAGGATTTTTTTTTCCTGCTGGAAGTAGTCGTCGTCATATTCTAGTGAAAGGAATTAAGGACTTGTGTTAAATGCATAATTTTCTTCAAGAATTTATTTATATGTGATTCTGTACCTAAGAAACCTGACCTGTAGCTTGGAGTTTTAAGGCAGCATTTCCTTCAGCACAGTTTGATCAACTCAAGGAGGCTTAGAAATCAGTTTGTTATAGAACCAAATAGTTTTAGACAGAAAGAAGCACTATTATTGTTAACAAGTTTGCTTCAATGGTACGTAGCATTGGGTGGTACAAAAAAAATGAATGATTGAGATTAAAAATCGAAGATTTAAGTTCTAACAGCTAAAACGTGTGTAGTATTCAAGCGTTGAACCCATACCAGTTTGTTATTGCTTGCACAGAGAATGGATAACATTGCACATAAGAATGACATTGAAATTTTTAGAAGTCGATTGTTCGCCATTCGAGTACGAAGATTAGACAAGGTTCGTATGACATACATGTTTGTATAAATTTTAAGATTTAACGATTTAGACAGTGTTTTCTTACGACATAAGTTGTATGCTTGAGGTCATTATAAATACAATTGGCAATGTGCAAAATAATTATAGAATTTGTAAGAAATTACGACAAAGAATGCTTGCAGCAGTAGACAGAAAAGAAAAGGTAAAAGTGTAATGTTTTTGCAGTGGTCCATTATTATTTGACAACACTCATACCAACAAGGCAAGACCTGAGAGCCCCCATTAAAACGTCTGTATCATAATTTGACTTTGCAACCACCGCGTTTAGGCCTCGTCTAGGCACTAGGCGCGACTATCCCAATTAGTCCTTAAGCACCAACTCGCCGCCTGATTAGCGCCTAACGTCTTTTAGAAACTTACTTCCAGCCATGGCCTGATCGAATTGAGCATGCTGCTGCTTTCTCCAAACTCCCTCGTCCCCTCCCGTCTCTCTTTCAGCCATGGCCTGATTGTAGTCGGCGTCAACGTCAATGGCTTTCCGAACGTCACTATTATTGATGTTTCCTGTAATTCCTGAGTTCATTCCAAATTTGACAACCCAGAGAAGACAATTTATTTCACTAACAAGGTCCTTTAAATTTTTTTTTTCTTCACATGATAGATTTGTTAGATTAGAGATTGACGAGGTTTTTTAGATTAGAGATTGACGAGGTTCGAACCTACGCCGTAGTGCAAGGGCAACACTCTCTCCATTGTTGCGGTAAATAGCCACTTGCTAAGTTCCTTTATTTTAGATCCCTATACTTTTTCCTTGCTTTCTCATTATTATTATACAAAAAATAAATACATATACATATATATATATATATATATATATATTACGCAAGATTTTTGGCACAAACTTATTATTAGATCAACTCATTTTTAATGGTTGAGATATAATCTGACATGTCAATTAATTTTATCAAACAAATGTATATTAGAAATAAAAATTGAACTTTGAATTATAATTTCTCAATTATTTGTATTAATTATGTTTAAGGGAACTATTATTAGGACTTCAAAAATCTCATTCTACACTCCTCATAAGTGTTTTTTTTTTCTTCTAGTTTTAGAAAGTTTGGAGTGCCAAATGAGATTTTAAGAGTGCCAATAACAATTTCCATGTTTAATTCTCTCTTTTTTTTCCCTTTAACGGTCTGCTCGATCTCATACATTTTTTGGTTTGGAATTCTCTCTTTGCTTATGACTTGTGTTGAAATTCTTCAAGGACTTGTTACTATTTAATTGTACTAGTCCACCTAATTTTGTTGTTAAGAATTACCAGATGTGGTGTGGTCGTCGTAGAGTTGCAGCCTAGTATTTATTTTCAATTTTAAGAAACAAACCCAAACCCAAAACCCCTTTACTTGGTGGCGGCGGCAGCGGCGGTAAGAATTTTTCTTCTTTTCTCAGTGGTGTTCAGCCATACATGATTTCCCTATTCAATATAGGCGTGTAACAAGTTTCCTTCTCATCAAGGGTTGCGAAACTTGAAGAATAACCAGAGCACCATATAATATCTAAGCAATGTATTTTTTAAATAAAAGTGAGCTAATCTAATGGTCTAATATTTGTGTCAAATCTTGTGTAAAAAATATGATGCCACGGATTTGCCCCCTTATATATTTATGTATATTACACATTTTAAAGGTATCGGGAGCATAGGTCTATGCTGACATCATAAGCCCACCATAAGAGAAAAAAATAACTTACGCTGAATCGAGTGATGAGACAACTACTTTTATACTTGAGTTGTTACATTAATCGTGATGAGAATTGTAGAAAGATTTATGTCAACATTTGGTAGGTATTCATGCACCTTAGGGTCATGCTAATTTGTAAAGAAGAATTGATAAAAAGGGTTCAAATGCATAATTAAAGAGATGATGGATTTCACCCTTAGGACCTCAATGTCTAATCATTCTACCTTGGATATATTTTTAATCCTAGATAAGTACTCCAATCAAATTTCCAAATCCTCAAGAGTTTGAAGGTGCTAAGGTCAGTGCACTCATGATTAATCTATGGATTGGATTCATATTTCCCAAAGGCCCCCAATTGTCAAAAAATAATAAATAGAGACAAGAAGTGAAAGCAACAAAGTCTACTAAGCAACACAAAAGTTGAATTTTAACCCTACTGTAGTCATCTCTTCGTACAAGCCCCATCCCATCATAGTCGAGCGAATTTTAGGTTGGCTTTTTAGCCAAAATGATTCTGAGATTTTCATAACACATCATTTTAGTTCTTTAAATTTAAAATTAAAATTAATAGAAATGGTCTTTGAAATTATCCACCATCCATTATTTTGGTCATTCCATTAAAAAATTCCGTTAAGTGGTTGATGGATGGTAGACAATCTCAGGGACCAAAATTATGTGTTATGCAAATCTCATGGACTAAAATTATGTGTTATGCAAATCTCAGAGACCAAAGTTATGTGTTATACCCTCAACTTAACGAAGTTTTTTAACGGAAATACCAAAATAATGGGTGGTGGACAATTTCAGGGACCACTTCTATTGATTTTAATTCTCAGGGACCAAAGTTATGTGTTATGCATTTCAGAGACCATTTTGACTAAAAAGCCTTCTAGATTCATTGAACTCCAACAGGATCCTCTCCGAATTCTCTTTGTGAGGATCCTGGAGATCCGTGAATCGTGTCCGTTCATCGTATATCATGTGATCAATTTTTGTCAGGTACTGTTTGTTTTAATTTTAATAAAAAAAAATTAAAATGATTTCTGACCGCACGATGTACGATAAATGGACACGATTTACTGACCCCCAAGATCCTCAAAAAAAGGATTCGACGAGGATCCAAATTCCATTGAACTTGAGTCTATCGTTACCTAATTTTGACTTGGGAAATTCTTTCTTCTGGACACCCAGATAAAATAGTTGTTTAGTAACATTATATTAGACTAAAAAAGGCTGGATGAAGAGTGACGACATGAAACGAATTCACTGTCACTTAACGTCCCATCAATATCATGTGTCAAATATTAAAACTATGATGAATAGACCAGAGTGAGAGGTACAACTGGATGAAGAGTAACGACATGAAACGAATTCACTGTCACTTAACGTCCCATCAATATCATGTGTCAAATATTAAAACTATGATGAACAGACCAGAGTGAGAAGTTTTCTGGACGCCCTGATAAAATAGTTGTTTGGTGACATTGAATTAGAGTAAAAAAGGTTGGATGAAGAGTAACGACATGAAATGAATTCACTGTCACTTAGTGTCTCATCATATCATGTGTTAAATATTAAAGGGAGACTTTGGATGCGGTCCCTAACTATGAATATTATTTGACTAAAACCTTGTTGGTTTTCAATTTTTGATCCAAGTCCCTGAAATTAATGTGATAATTTATTTCTATGTACGTTACTATATTTTTTAAAAATTAAAAATTGAAATTTATAGTTGTTTGTATTAATGAGATTTTAAATAAAAAAACCATAATTTGTGGGATTAAAAATATTAAAATATAAATATATTATTGTGTGTGTGTGTATAAACATGGGTACATTCATAAAAAAATTAACCAACAAATTAGTGTATCAAAACATGGGTACATTCTTCAAAATCACAAAAAAAAAAAAAAAAAAAAAGACATTAGGCTAAATAAAATGAGTAAATTTCTTCGATTAAACTTAACATGGATACATTCTCAAATCAAATAAAAAAGAATGTACCCATATAAGTTTAAAAATGGATTAGAAAAAAATTGAATATATTTTATATAGAAAAAGGCACATTTTACATATAACAAATTGGTATATTTAATAATGAGTACATTTTAAGATTAAAAATTTGAAAAAAATTACATGAATGGTACATATAATTAGCATGGGTACATTTAGCAAAATAAAAAATGGGTACAAATTAAATAAATAAAAAAATATGGGTACAAATACAAATAAAACTTTATAAAATATGGGCACAAAAAAAATTAATATATGAGTACAAATTAAAACTGAAAAGAAAATTGGTACAAATTAAAAAAAGATAAATTAAAAAATGGTACAAACTAAATATAAAAATATATGATAAAAAATTTAGCCATAAATATTAAATATACTAATTGTAACATTTTTAACATTAAGTGAATATATTTAGAAATAAAAAATATTTTATTATTGAAATAATTAATGATGTTATTAATACCAAGGACCTTGGTCAAAAAATGAAAAGGAATAAGGTTTTGATCAAAGGAGTAGCAAAAGGAAGGATGAGAACCTAATTTCTCCAATATTAAAACTATGAGGAATAGACCATAGTGAGATGTTTTCATGTCTTTGAGCAGATGGGTGAGAATGAGATGCCCTCTCCCCACCCCAAAATTTCTCCCAAACTTTCCACCCCATAATTTCTTCTAAAAATGGACATGAATTTGTCATTTGCTTCTACATTCTTGTTCAGAAAGAATGAATTGAGTTCGTATAGGCATTTTAGATGCTGCTATTGAAATAGCCCTTCTAGCTATATTTTCTGCTACTCCGCTCATTTCATAAAGTAACTACCGGGTTCAACAACAGCTACCCAATATTCGAGAGATCCTTTCCCCAAACCCATGTGTTTTTATAGGTCTTATTGTAACAAGTTTGCCTGAAAATATGTCTTTGGCTAGAGTTATTTACGCTAATCACCTCT